ACGACTACTGTGAGGGACCACCATGAATGCCTCGAATGGTAGCTACACACGCATGACAGTTCAGTAAGACTGCGAAGCGATCTTGTTTCCAACATCTGATAAATGATATCGATCGATGATCGAAGGATCGTTTGATCGTACTGAGTCACGTTTTGAGAAGACATCAAAAAAAACACCGACCTATGAAGGGAAGCCGGTTGAGGGAAAAGTTTCCCAACCCATCATCTGGCATGCAGATGCATGTCGAGAAATACAGTAAGCAACGTTGCTTGGTGCGTACAGTCAGCCATGAAATGCCAAAAGTGTTGCTGAAGGACAGCGTTGGAAATTTCATCACTCCAGAATAATTCAGAGAAAACAATGGTCAAGGATCGCTGACCTCCGGGTGGACTCACACGTGGTGGCCATGTCCCAAACATAGCAAAACATACGAGGCAGCACAGCAATGAAGGAGAAGCAGCAACGTGTTTGGCCTTGAACCGGAGAGCACGCTTAACTCTTATGTTATCATGTAAAAGATTAATGAGGCTTGGGAAAAACTTGGTGTTTCAAGGAATTTACACGGATGTTCAATGGAGCACCACGCTACAATGGGCAAAAGCGAGTTTAGCATCTCGAACAGTCCGAAGATGACTGAAACGCTCAGCATGGTGTAGCCTTATACTAAATGTGATGTTGGACCCACGGAGAGGTAATGGATGAAAATGCTTCCTATACTCGGAGACAGGTAGGCTGGAAACTTACTCTGACTGCACCCGTGTGTGGTAGGACAAGGAAAGTGTTGCGAACGCCTGCTTGAAGTTTACGTGTGGAACCCACAAGCAGCTATCTTGCCCATCCATTACTACCAGGACTACATAATGTGGTATTGTTGGCGCAAGCAGCTATCTTGCCCATCCATTACTACATAATGTGGTATTGTCGGCATTCGGTTTTAGAATTTGTAATAAACGAGGAATATAGATCGAATCATCCTGACAGGTTCTTTCACGAGTGGGGAGATCACGATAAAACCACGAGAATTGAAGAGGAAGTGTGCGGCAAAACCGGATAATGAACTACGTTTTGCCTATCGAAGACTTTACCAGTAGTGTAGCTGTGAGAAACGTAAAACTCACCTTGTCGACAATCGGACTGGTGACCTCGCCGAAACGCTCGGCTCGCTTGCGCAGGAGTTCCGCATCAATGGAAGGCCCCGTGGCTGCACGAATACCACCGGCAGTAGTAGAGGTAGAACGATTTTCGTTGACGGGTAGACCAAATCGACGAGCGCGCGCCGCAAGCTTGTCATCCGTCAAAGCAGCACCAGCGCCGGCAGGACGTTGCAAGCCAAATCTGATAGCGCGTGCGTTCAAACACTGCACAAATGGAAACGAACTTGAAAGACAAAATCCGGACACGACACTCGGATGCATACCCAGGTTGGAAGAGCCAGGCAGACTAATAAACACGTGAGAAGCATCCACAATATTTCTTTAGTGGCAAAAAAGGAGGCATACCAACTGAAGATAAATGCCCGATTGGTTGCTGATATAAACGTACAACCGCGACAAAAAGCACCAAGAACTATAGCAACAGGAGTAAAAGCACTGAGAATTGGCCCTATAACGTCCAAACAATTTTGGGAAATGGAGGAAATGTAGTGCACTGAGCCAATTGAGATCACCAGCAAAAGGACGACGGGATATTAACTCCTGTGCGACGGATAGCAACCGGAAGACCAAGTGTACCATACCAGGGCCACCATTTTCTAGGATCAGAAACAGTACTCACATCAGTCTCAGACATTGTTGCAGACTGATCCGACGGTGCAAGAGAAATGACCGTCTTGGCGGTTGAAACGTCCGAGTTGGATTGTGTCGACTCAACAGCCTTGGATTTTTCTGGAACAGGGCAAGCGGATGATTCGCTAAGCTTGGATACGGTCCGCTTCGAACCTACAGCTGTGGGTTGACCCGAAGGTTGCGATGGTTTTGGGTCGGAGGTCGTGCGGATATTGATCAGGTGGTCATCGTTATCCAACTTATCCAGGCTATCTAAAGCCGCAGCGCCTGTTAGATTGAAAGGTATGCTTTCTTCATCCACATCATCGCCCAGTAGCTTCGCTTCATCACCCGGTTGCAGTATGGTGAAGTTCTCACCTAGATAAAGGAAAGGGGAAGGTACATGTGGAGAACATACGTGAAAGGTAAGCTAATAACACTTTTGCCATCTCATCGAAAAATGCGGGTTATGACAGAACGCTATGGAAGATAAAATACACACCAACACCAATGCATACGAGCCACAACTGAAGAAATTAACACAGATTTCTACTGCCTTTCAAGTTAATAAAATTGATGATAACAAGCGTGGTCCTATGTATCATCCCACCTGGGATCAATCAAAAACAAATACGTGAGATCTTGAGATGAACACCCTTTCAAAATTGGCGTTTGCCGTTATAATTCTGTCATCGTCAAGTTTTCCAGCACATAAAACTAGAGCTGTCCTCATCTGACGAGATCACCCTTAACAGAGACCCTCTACGAAGCGGCGATTTCCGATTGATCCCTCGTAGCTCATTAGAGGTGAAATTCCCCCTAGAAGGGACCACGCCGTACGCATTTATAAATTGTTTCCCATAAAAAATCAGTATAATTCTACCGACGCGCAGACGATCGTAGCTGGCAAAGTACGTCATCTGAGTGCCAATCCGATATAGAGTTCTGTAACCATGGGTACATTCGGTCAAAAAATCGGGGCGTTCAGGTATACGGCCATCTCAACGTTAACTCACTGGAAAACATACATTTCACCAGCTACGATGTTCCGTATTACGGTGGAATGAACCAAGTCGTGTTGACACCAGGGCTCGAGATAGCTCAGTGGTTAACGTGCCAACTTCCGGACCGGAAGGTTCGAACCCAACCTGAGCATTTCGACTGCTCCTGTCTAGGCTTGGACAACGCGGTGGTATCGCAGCCCTCATGTCACCTTCTGCTGGCTTGGCAGATGGGCACCGAAAGGGTGCTACAGCTGAACGATTGATACTGGCACCAAATTTCACTGGAGTGCAACCGCTTGCTGCGGAATATTCCAAGTCCTCAGGTGTGCGAGCAGTGGGTGCAGACTAACAGGTCAGAGATGAATAATCACCAGCATCAAACCTGGACGACAAAAGCGTATTAGGTGCATGTGCCGTTCATGTAGAATAAGCAGATGCAACCCGGAGGTAGCCATCGCTGCGTGGCACAGACTAAACAACAAGTGCCGACCAAATCCAGTGCCAGCATAAGTTTTACTTTCCAGGACTATCAGTCACGATGAGCTGGCATGATGCGTGATAGACAACTAAAAATTGGGGAAGGATCATCTGTCTGACCACGAGGGCATCGAATGCAAGAACGACGATTGAAAATATATTTGCGTCATGTAGGCTTTGCTTATATCATGGTATTTAGAATGCCGAAAAAAGACCGGCGGAGACAGACTGAGGAAAAAGCATGATCGTTCCACCGTAAAAATTTGATTCCGCCTGCAAATCAACGCAGATCACTGGTTATTTCAATATTTGTTCTGACTACTCCTGAGTAGCGTGGCTGACCCCCGTTTTATATAACGGCGTTTCGATTCTTTACTGCTCGTCCCCCGGGTTTTTGCTCCCCCTAAGGTCGTTTACTCGCTGGTTACTAATATCAAGATCGAACTCTGGACCCTTCAGAGGGTAGGCGAGCGCGCTTTCCGTTTCGTCAGTTCGACTTCCCCGGCGGTTCCATTTTTATATAACCTTTATATCTTACCCGATAGACTTTGCCGAGAATTTGTTTTAAACGGGTTTAGGCGCGCATTCCGTTTTGACATGTAACACGAGCTTCTGCGTCGCGCTGTCAGCTCAAGACTAAAGGTACATTTAATTTGTGCCAAATTCACCCAATACCCGCTTCCCGGACAGTTTTCCTTACCTCCCGAACGTACTGACTATTTCGTGTGCCGTTATCTATGTATACCACCTACCTACAACGTCTGACCACCCGCATCCGTACGTTTGTATACCATCTGTTAATTACTCACTATTGCTTTCGGAAATCCCTGCTGCCTTCGCCGTCCCTTTTTTAGCCCCTAGCGATCACGCTATTGGGGGTGAGATCGACCAAGTGGTTAGAGCGCGAATTTACTGACCGGAAGGTATGTGGTTCGAACCCCAACTAGGCCTCTCGACTTCCCTTGTCTAGGCTTGGGCAATCCGGCGGTATCCCAACCCTCGTGCTTCATGCTTCCTAATCGCGCTATTAACGATTTTATGTTCTGTTTAATTATGATGCCTACTAACTCATTTGTTCATAGAACCAGTTCTCAACAGTTCCCAATGCAGCATCTACTGCCCTTATTTGTTAGCACCTATCGCCAAATGAATACAAACTCGTTGATGTCAGAGAGCTCCAATCGCCCTGTGAGACCCTTAGCTACCCGGATCTTACAATACCCTTTCGGTGCTTAGCTGTCACGCCCTCAATGGTAGCACGAGGGATGAGATACTGCCATTTTCCAAAGCCTAGACACGAGCACGAAAATTTCAGCAGCACGCGATGTCGAGATGGCTCAAGTGGTTAAAGCGCGAATTTACTGACCGGAAGGTCCGTGGTTCGAACCCGACCTAAGCCTCTCGACTTCCCCTGTCTAGGCTTGGGCAACCTGGCAGTATCCCAGCCCTCGTGCTTCCCTCGGGTGGCATGGCAGCTAGGCACCGGAAGGGTGTTACAGGTGAACGATTTTTTACGCGGTGTCGGAATTTGACGAAATGTTAATTATAAAGTTAGTGTCATGCCATTGAAACTTCGCGTGAAAATGACAAAAAGGGTTAATAGGTTGAAACAAAATAAGGTATAAATGTGACCTGCTGCAGTGTGGTGACCCATTCACTCATGCATTCGATCATTACAATCTACTGTCTTAGTTATCACTTGCAGAATCGAGTTTAACTACACTGAAGATACCCTGGTTGTCAATTAGACGAGAAATGAGCTCCAGTTTGGTTCCGGTCGTCAGTAGGTCATGTTTCTTGCACAACTTGCGCAACTCCGCCAACTAGAAGTGTGAAATTAAAGGCAGAAATCGAGACGCAACCAACCTTCAGTTTTGTCAACTCCTCGGCCGTAGTTACGTTCGAATCGCCCATCATTCACAAAAAATTGAGTCAGATATTCCCCAGATGTGAGCGTTCTACGTGCAGCTGTAATCAGGCAGGACACAACTGTAACCAGAGCTAACATCATTATCAGCAAATATAAAACGTGTAAAAGTTTTGTGGTGATTCCGGATATAACTGTTTCGCACATCGATGATTCGGACGAGTGGTGTAAAATGTGAGGACAATTCTAGCTAAACTGCGCACCAAAGAAGATGACTTTTAACCATTCCAAAACCCGAGTCATATCTGCTAATTAGGCATTCTCAATATCACCAGTAAGGCGAGTAACGAGTAACGTCGAATATTGGTATGGTGCTTCAAGAATTTAAAATCGCGGAGCAAAGATGCGTTTCTGGGGCCTGAATCTACGCGGATTAGCTAATGTTGCTCGGACTTTGATGGTCCACTTCATCCGTAGCCATCAAGGTGCATGGACCGAGAGCAAACCGAAGCTCATCGAAGGAGAATTGCAAAGGAATGCAAGGTTGTACACCATATAGTTGTAAAATGATTGCTAAAGAAGTGGCCGGTAACTCATTATCAGCACCACCACTATCATCATCACCATCATCATAAGCAGTAGTATCAGTGTTGAATTCGACTCCTCATGACCATGCAAACACAGCGTCTTCTTTACCCTTAAAACCTTGAAATAGAAAAAAATATGACGTTGAACACGGGGGCGTCGTGCTATTCTTTAGAACAATTTTATGGCACCCACAACTCCGAACGCATAGTTGAGCAACCTGGAATTAAGCAGCAGAAACGCCAATAACACTGACTATTGTTTATATTTTGCAACGTCCCCAATCAAGTAACAGGGGATGACGTGCACAGAGATGTCGCGAAATGACTGGACCTTATGGTGTACCTCAGTAGCCCACTGGATATTGGGGATACACAGAGGATGTACTGCCTAATCGGTCGATGGATAGAGGTCTGACAAACAGTCTCCTGGCCACCCAGTTTCGGGGTTAGAACCAGTGTGGTCATTTGTTCGTTGGACTTTAGGCTACTCGAGTAGCATTAGGCCAACTACCTGAGCCATGCGTTTGGACTTGTGAGTCAAAGGACCCTAGTGGTCCTCCTGTCTAGGTTTGCGCGCCTTGGCGTTGGTATAGCCTTACATTATTGCTCTATTGAATATTTGTAAACAGCCCTATGATCTGTCCGACATTCTTCGTTAAAAACTCACTGGTTGCATTTTAATCTAGTGTGGTGTCTACTTACGCACCAATGTAGTTCCAATTTCGCTAAAACGTACCTACCGCATACACTCCCAAGCGCTAAGCCGGACAACCGGGGAACAAACTGAGAGCGCAAACACAACCGACACTAATAAGCCGCCATTTCTTGCAGTGTCTCCAGATAAGTGCAATCGGGTCATGGGCACCCCATCCTGGAAGACGGACCGCACCCAAAGCACCCGATCTTTTCGAAATCTCGTGCATGGCCGAGTTCCTCAGTTGACGAATCTGAATGTTTTTCGTGAGTGAAGTACCCACCGCACAACCAAGTACTCGGTTTCTAATTGCCACGTTACGAAATTGATGACCCCATATGACACTAGCAACGCATCCGAGGCATCGGTAGTGGGAAACCTGAAAACACCTCATATCATCTGTCCGCCTCATTACGTATTTGCCAGCACCAAACCACAAGAGCTGTAGTTCTGAGATAACGATTATCGAAGACCTGAACACGTCTCAATTCCGCCGCCCGAACAGCATAAGTCTCAGCCACACAACAAAATAACCCCAGCTATAGACTGATACATTCGTTCCTTGAGATTCAGGAATATAGTGCTATGACGCCATAGGTGTCCCAAATTAGCAAACGGGACCCGAGACTTGAAGATTCGTGCAACAACCTCACCTGTCCCACTACAAACAGAACCAATACAACCTCCAATATACGTAATACGCTCCACAGCTCCAAGTGTCCCTCCCTGGATTGTGAGTGGCGTAGAGA